CATAGTTCTGGTTTAAGCTCCTGGATGGCAAGAGCTTCGGCTATTTTTAAAAGTTGGATACGAAGAAATCTGGGTAGATTTGAACGAATCATATAAACAACCTTAAAGTCAATTTGTGGATCTGTTGAATGGTTATAGTCGATTAGGTGTTCAAGTATAGAACTCCTAACTGCTTTCCTTTCACCCTTATAGAACCAGGCTGGGATATGTTCTCGTATCCGAGTTGAAAGCGAGCGCTGGCTACGGCCAATGTACCTTGCTCCACAAGAGCAGGTGAACTGGTAGATGCACATGGAGGCGACCAGACGCGGAAGCTTATCTTTTATGGATACAGAAAATAAGTTTCTACTAGTGAAGGATATTCGCAGTTTTGCCGCGTTAAATGTTCTTCTAATAGTTGTTGTTAGACGGTTTTTGATTACGTCCGATGTTCGGTCACCTTTAAATTCCAGACTTATATAAAGGTTTTTCTTTGGAACGGAACAACTAGAATTCTTCTCGCGACTACTTTTATTCATATTCTTTTCTATGAACCGTTCTGGGTAACCATTTTCCGTCAAAGTCTTCTTCAGGAATGCGAGTTCTTCGTTAATGCATTCCGTACTGCATATGTGATGTATGCGATGGCATAAAGAATGGATAAGGTTTCTCTTCCTACTTAACGGAACCCAGCTATAGAAGTTGGTTAGCTGGCCATTCCATGTTTGTTTTCTAAAGATGGATCTTTTTAAAGAACCATTACTCTTTCTCATCAGACGTACATCGAGAAAAGGAATTGATTGGTCTTGTTCCCTTTCTAACGTGAAGTCTATGGAAGGGTGGCACGAGTTAAAGGTGTGTAGAATATCATCTAAATCAATATTATTGTCACAAACAACAAACGTGTCGTCCATGTATCTCACGTATAGGTGGAATCGATTGATCATTGAACGGAGTTGGTCGTTTTCTACTTTTGCCATGAAACAGTCTGCTAAAATTGGACCCAATGGAGACCCCATTGCGATCCCATCCCTTTGTCTATATATTTCATTATTGAAACTGAACTGGACATTAAAAGTACAGCGTAACAATAATTCTTTCAAGTGTTCAGTTGGCAAACCTAGATCTATATTGTTAGAATCAATATACTCACATATATAACATATTGTTTCGGTTAAAGGTACGCTAGTGAACAAAGAATTAACGTCAAGCGAGAACATGTGTTTTTCGGAAGTATTAACGTCCTTAATACGATCAATAAATTGAAAAGTATCATGAATAGAATGTTTACATACTTGCCTTCTAACCGGTTCCAATTTTTCCGCTAACCATTGGAACCGGTGTTCACATTTCCTCACGGAATTAGTACTTTTACAAAAACAAAATTTTCATATATATACGATTATACAGCTTGATAATAAATTCATTGAAAAGAGATCCCTTCGCTGAAATTCGTGTTTTAATTTTAATGTTTAAATGGGAATTATCTGTCAAAATAAAGATGTCTAGAAATAATGCCTATTATATTCCAATTCAAATGAAAATTATTTATTATAATGATTTAGGATCGTTATGCTGAATCATAGATGAAGTCGATAGTATGTAATGTGATGGATTTTTAAGCGGAGTTGTATTGAGTTGTAGTGATCTACAATATTTTAAGATTGTTTAGATGACAGATTTATTTGAACTTACTAAATTTTATGTCTGTGTAAGCCATTTCTATAACTCTAAAGTATAAGTGTGGCCGAAACAACGTGTTACAACATCTAAAGAGTAGTTTAATCATACAAATGTAAACTGTAGAAAGAATAATAAAGTCGTGATTAAGTATTTAATGTGGAAATTATGTAGTTTATAAGATGTTTGTTATATATGTGAAAAGTTAACTCAGTGATGTTTCACTTATCTTTGCTTATAAACCCATGTTGCACGGTCTACTATCCAGTCAATGAAATCTGATATTAAGTTAAGTGTTTGGGTAATACTATATTCAGTACTTTAAGCTGGATATATTGTATGGGACAGGAATCAGACTTATTTTAAATTTGATGCTCAATGACGTTTATCAAAATCCTTAGCTCTTCAGTGAGAAAATGAAGTTACTTTTTCAGAAACTTAAAACTGGTTTCTCACGAATCCTGCCACTGAATTTATATTTATGACATGAAGTTATAAGCATAAGGAAAATAAATATATTGTAGAATGTTCTAAAATTTCAATTTATACCAACCGTTATATATTCTCAAAATTATTAATGCTGTATAACCACCTTTTTTAAAAGATATTTACAAATCATCATGGTCTAAACATCATTTATTATGTTACAATTATCGCTTGTGTTCTATGAAATTTCATAACTTTGAAGATTATTAATATGAAAGTCTGTAGAAACAGTTTAGCCTTCTCTATGAATAAACATTAGCTGAAAAATCACTGAAAAATAGCGATCATGAAATAGGTTTTTTTTCACTCTGGTTTGCTACTCTTCATTATTGCATAACAGAGATTGCTCACAGTGAAACGAAACCTAAACCTTAAGATTTTACGTTGAGCACAATAGTTTATGATGGCGAGCCAGTTTTTGGTTAAATAAATTCTCAAATTTAATTTAGTTGTGATATCATCCAACGCCTTAAGTAATATCTGGTTCAGTGTTGGAATGGTCAAACTTGACTGAGCAAGATTTTTCACTAGAGTTTCCGTAGTTTATTTTCAAGTTAATAATGTTATGCAAACTATTCTGAACATAATTACTAAGAGTTTATTGTTCGACATGAAATACAAGGAGCAAAAATCACTTAATGAAGAAGCGATCATGAAAGTTTACTATAAGTTATCACTAGACTCTGTTTAAATCCTGAACTGTCTTTTCAGTTTATATATTCATTGATTAGTAGAGAACAATAAACAAAATATTCCTAGGTATTAGATAGCCCTCCTCAGTTTCATTAAGGCCAAATATTTCATTCTTCTAGCTAACTCTTACTTCATTTTTGTCATATTAACTTGAATGTAGTGGTATGTAGTTATAAAGTGCTTCAAACTCAAATTCATATATGATTTTATTTAAATAACTGATGTCATTATTAATTGTTATTTTTTATTGTCATATTTCTTCATATTTAATTTGTCGGTTAAGTAAACCGTGGTACAATGAGACACAGAGTTAACCACAAGCCAACAGTGGGTATAGATCATAGATGTGTAGTGACTCACATTTATCACGAGAACACGACTGGTTTAATAAAAACAATTATTATTATAACCAACTGTACCAGTGTTTGTTTTAATGTGCTTTTGTTTGACTGTGCTAATGACAGCTATATTGTGCTTACATTCTTATTCTTACACTTTGATTGTGACTTCGCGCGAATTCCGTTACGTTCTGTAACCAAGCTTGTATCCTGGCACGATCTCGGTATCCTTTCGATGCCACGAGATCGCCAGCGAATATATCTCGATTTGGTCCATTAACTGTCTTCTGATATTTGGCTTCTCGGGGATTTTATGGATTTATTTGGTTGCGTCCAACCTTCGCGTTCTGATTTACTTGGCACGTGTTTCTCTGTAGCGGTGTTCATAGTCAACCTCGACTCGACTCCACGCTACAGATGAATGTTCGGGAATATAATCACTCTCAATTCTATGAAATGTTAATTTATTGGCACTTCTACAAATTTGGTATGTCAGTAAGTCAAAATATCCATCCTAATCGTTCGTTTCCTTCAACCCTTTTTCCAATATACTAATTATATGAACACTTACTATTGCGTAACTTTAACAACTTTTAATAAATGTTATTCTAGTCTCTGTTTTCCCGAGTCTTTAACCTACTTCCATATTGCTAAACATTATTTTAAGCCTTTATTATTCTTATCACAGCCAGCATATCTATTATCCTACTGTTAGTTCATACTTTATGATCATTTTAACTTCTTTAATTTATTTTGTTCTTATCATTTACTTATAAACTACCTTGAGTGATTTAATATTTTTATTTATGCTTATAAATATCACGGTATATTAGAGTAAAGTCTAATGAGAATCTAATTGAAAACAATATTAATCCCTTAGATTTCTTGTTCGTAGTAGAGATGTATTGCTAATTTTCATTTTCAATTTTGGGGATTTGTGTTTATTATAGTATTTTCAATGTTAAATTTATAAGTCAATCTAAGCTAGACAAAACAGCCATCCAGTGCTTTCAGATTTTCAATAATGATTTAGTTTAGATTGACTTGTGTATTCAAATTTCATTTTGTTTAGATAGATCCTTATTTAAATAATGTTAGAGAAGTTTTAAAAATTTCAATAAACAGTATACGGTATGATAGATTGTAATTTACATTTAATTCAAAATAATATTCAAAGGAGGAGATTCATAGGTTTATAGTTTATTATTCCAAAGGTTTATTTACAATTCAGTAGAAAATTATTTCAATGGTTAAGGTCATAAGTCATTTGAAGCTAGACCACCATGGGAAACCTGGAAGCACTGGACGACCGTTTCGTCCTATTGTGAAACTCCTCAGCAGTGCGCATCCAAGACCTCGCCCCCGCGAGATTTGGACCCAGGATCTACTGGTTTCGCGTGCGAGCACTTAACCACTAAATCACTGAGCTGGCATCCAACGGACGAAACGGCCGTCCAGTGCTTCCAGGTTTTCCATGGTGGTCTAGCTTCAACTGACTCATGATCCTAACCATTGAAACTACTATAATATCCACAAAACCCATCTGATAGAAAATTATCTATCTACCCAACTGATTATCATCTATCCACATTTGATCAAATTGTATTCTTCATTTTTTTCTTTTCATCGAAAAATTATTTTAACCAATCATATAACAATCCGTTTACATTTACTCTTCTCATTAAATTATATTCTGTTATCCAATTAAATATCAATAAAATGGGTATGAAAAAGAAGAGAATATTTTCAATATTCAAATATTATAGATTAAGATCTAATTTAAGAATAAATCTAAATCATTTATAATAATAATTTTTTAAAACAATGTCAGATAAATTTAGTATTAATGAAATATTGAGATCAAATTATAATACACAAATCACGTTAACTGATATACATAAATCGAATGAAATAATATTACCTATCACAACAATTACATCATCCATTTCAACTAATCATAATCATAATTATTCAATGACATCATCAGATCATTCATTGAATTCATCGACATTCAAAGAGTTTCTAATAGATTCTAATATAAAACAAACATTAGAATCATTAACAAATGATAATGATAAAAATATTCAACACATTTTAAATTCCGCACAATTTAAACGATTTATCAATATATTAAAATCATTTAAATATTCAACTATTAGTAATCAATTATTGAATGAAATAAGAACAAAATATATAGAAGAATATAATATAACAAATCCTGTAATTATGAAATATTTAACACATATATTTACTAATAATCCAAATGATATCTTAAATGAATTATCCAAAGATAATATAATTGGTAGGTTCCGAAATTATTTCAATTTCAATGTTAAGAATTATAAATTCAGTTGATGTTGTTTTATTTGAATTTTTCCATTGATGTTTAGGACTCAGGACTCGGTAGCTAAGTGGATAACGCGATGGCGTTTGAAGCGAACACTGCTGGGTTCGAGTCCCATACTGAATATCAACTCTGATATGCAGGTACATCCGACTGACGAGTCCTGAGTAGGACGAAACGCGCGTTCTTGATTTCATTGCTAGGCACTATCCATCTTTGCTTAAAATGCTTGTGACTTAAGGTAATATCGAAGCAATCCGCACAGTATGCATATATGCTAATAAGAGACTGACCAATTGCAGTCCTAATCATCAATGGGAAGATTCAAGTAAACAATACCAAGTGAATTTATTTCGTATTGAATATTTTCTAAGTGATGTATAGAAAGTTAAATGTATCATTATTTCCGTTTCATAAAGTGGAAATGCAATGCAGTCAGTGAATATTATATGTTATCATGACAATGAATCTCATCCACAGGTTCAATTACTTACAATAAGAGGGTGTTTAAGTCGAATTCGATATTGTTTACTTTATGGTAGCATACTATCAAAACAAACTTAAGTTCTACTTAATAGTGATAGGCGATAGTAACAGCAGATATTTGTAAATCTTATTATTTTTTATAAATCACTTACAATTAAAATTAATGCCGATTAAATTAATCTTAAGGTTCAAAATCTAATATTATGCAGAAATTCTCAAATTCATCATGATTAAGAAAGTTTTATTATGTGTTAAACAGCTAAATTTACGATGTCTAGTTCTAATTAAAGGAATATTTCAATTGAAAGTTTGTTGGTAATCTTATAAGTCACAACATAATCAGTGATGAATGTTACTGATGTGAACCGAATTATTAAATAATTTTTTCTTAAATAGTATTAGGTTGCAATCAAAGCTGCGTGAAACCAGATATTAAATTAAAGGCATTTGATTTTACAGTGATATTCAGAATTACCTTTCCATTGACTATTTTGTAAGTGATCAAACTCGAGACGTTCAGTCCTCATGACCATCACAATTTAGTCCAAATGATTATCATACAATATTGAAGATTAATCAAAATTGAAAAATTAAACCACTGGATGTCAACCCATTAATTTAAAAGTTACTTTCTCGTCACGAACCCTGAAGATCCTAGGTTTGATCTCTAGTGAGATTTTGGATGAGATTGATGGGGTATTCCATACTAGAACGAAATAACTATCTAGGAGTACCTGGTTTTAAATGGTTGTTCAACCGAAGTCAGGTAATAATGCAAAAGTATTATATCCAGAATTCCTTCCATGCTTAATAGTTGATTGAACTTATTACTCACTCTCTGGTCCCGAAAAATAAAACATATTCATTAAGAGTTAAAATAGGCCATATATCAAAATAATCACAACACAAAGATAATGTACATGTCAAAAATACCCCCCCGAAGGATATTGTAAACCCTATGTTGGGGACGATAGATCCCCAGAACTCATTAAATATTTGAATGCCTGTCGATTGATGAACTTATCGATTAAATGATTAAGTAGCAGTCAATTGACGAACTTATCGATTAAATATTTGAATGTTTGTCGATTGATGAAATTATTGATCAATGTTTAAAAAACATTTTACTATGACAATATCGATTGTAAATATTTGTATAAATACGCTTGACTTGTGTGCTTGACCTGACTTGGTATCTGCTGTTTGCCTTTAGAATACACTTTCTACACCTTACCAAGACTTCTTGATCGAGTTAGCTGAGTCGGGGAAAACGGACCAGAATAGTCTATCGAGATTCTGAATCCTTTGATCCGATCGATAAGTCACTTTTCTCTAATTGGCGGCCCTTTGAGATATAACAACCTATACCATCATTCTTGGCAAGACTAACGACTTTGAAAGCACATAACATGTCAATTGATTTCGGTTTACAGATTAACGATTCTATAACAGTTTATCTTTAACTACTTATGCATGGTTTATGTATGATATTGAACTGCCAAACATCTAAATAACAATATATAGTTAAATAATTGTATCTAAATTTTGATTAAATTGCCATAGGCTTGTATTTTCATGGGTATTAAGAGAAATTTAGTTAAATAAATGTAACAGGAAATGTGTAGATTAGACAAATTTCACTACTGTGGGAGTTAAAAAGTCCGATATTTTCAAATTTAAAGACAATGAACCATGTCTTATTATTCATAGGATAATGTACTAAGTTGTGTATCAAATTTATTATGCACCAACCAGTGTTATTATGTAAATATTAATAAGCATCATTGAAATGTTTAATACAAAATGTGATGGTCACAGTACATCACTGCATTGTGTGTAATCTTGAAATCACATCAGTGGACGTTTATCATTGCAGTTTTTGCATTGTGAGCAAATATTTCTTGTTTTTCGCAAACATTATAGTCAAGAATAATAAATTTATCTAATAATATTTACGTAGAACCAAGACGAATCGGACATCCTTATCAGAGTAGAATACCTAGAAAACGGAAAAAACCAAGAGCATCATTCACAAGATATCAAGTAAGTAAAAATTTTATTTTGTTGATAAAATAACTTTTAATTGCCTTGACAATTCATAGAAAATGAGATCATTTTTAGGAAGTTATGTTTTTATAAGTGCATACATAGCCTAAACTTGTGTATTATAATGTTGTGCACTCTAGAATACCTACTTTGACAATTCGTCTTAAACACATTTCTGTACACAGTCACATTTGTGAATGTAGAAAACCAATATAATGATAACTCACATTCACTATATAACATATAAGAACTATAACGCGTTAAATTTGTTGAAAGAGTTTCTGAGATTATTTTTCAGTGGAAATACTGAACAGCTATTGGATTACATATACCTATACATGAAATTGATCAGTAGTTCTTATTAAACCCATATCCTATTTGTTTTTATTTGGACGAGCCTGACCAGTTAAGGATGAATTACAACAAGACTTCCTATTTTGCTTTCAACTCCTAAACAGCTAAACTTGGTGTATTCTTTGTTGAGCCACTTAGATTAGTGACCATATTGGAAATCGGAAAAATTAGATCAGTTCATCAACAATTAGACAAGAGTCAGAATGATTAATACTCTGATTGGTCAGGGTATCTCAGTATTAGTAATGTTTACTTCAATTCTTATCCTCGCAACTAGGACACTTTCTATTTCAATAAATTCATATCAACATCTGTTTGGAAGCATAACTGATTACCGTACTTCACGGATTTTCACAGCTGGTTCTTATTATTGTTACTTTGTTAAGGATTTGAATATAACATTTTACAAGACAAGGTGATAAAAGTTTTCCAACTACTTTGATTAGTGAAGTTTAATATAGTATACACTTGCTTGATTACTCAGGACTGGAAACTGATTTCAAAGGTTTTTGTTAACATATAAAACTTGAAGTATTAAAATAATTGGTCATAGTTTTGCTGGTCGATGAGTCACAGCTAAAGGCGGCTAAAATGGGAGTTTTAAAAAACCTATTTCAAAATATTCATAAATGCATTTTAAAATGTGATTTTAGTATCCTTAAGGTTCGTGCCATTTCACTGACCATATGTTTTTATTTTGTGTAAGAACAGCTTTTTAAAGTTTTCATCGTAATTTGTGGGGAATTTCGAGGCTTAAGTTTTCTTGTTATGGTTGTGGATACTATTTCTTCCCGTGTTATGAGAAATGTATCTTCTTCTTCTAGAATACGATGTTATCAAATGCTGACAAAGATGTTCTACACATTTCAGTAATATAATTTGAGCTCAATAATTTAATAAAAGCGCTTTCATTATTTTCCTAGACAACTTAATCATTGCAAACTTCCAAAAGAAGTTGAAATTTATTGGTGTTTTCTTCAAACTATCTGTTAATAATATAAATCAATGTTGAAGTGAATTTTTAGTGGCTTTTCAATTAGATTCGAAAGATGTAAATTTTTTGGTACACTTCGCTTGAAATTTTCATGGGTTATCCGAATAAATAGGAACATCAGTTGAAAGGATGGAGAGAACAATATGGTACTAGGACTGGATTATTTTCTAGAATCAGTAACCCCAGTTGAGTGCTAATTAATTCACATTTCCAACTCATTTTATACGCATACTTTGGTGCAACCAACATTATTTAAATTAATTAATTTCAAAACCTTACGTATATATTAATTATTGTTTACACTTTTCACATTCTTTTCTCAAATCAACTACGTATAATTTAGATAAATACTCTATTTTCGGTTATTTTCTCTGACTTGTTAACAGGTGACAACACTTGAAAAAAAGTTTCATCAACAAAAGTACTTGGCTTCGACTGAGAGGAATGAGCTGGCAAACTTGTTGAAAATGACTGATGTACAAGTGAAAACATGGTTTCAAAATCGTCGAACGAAATGGAGGTCAGATGACAATCGTAGTATGGTTCTAAATGTTTGTTCATTTAATATGTTACAAAATATAGTTCACTTCAAATATCGTGAGTGGTCAGTTATTTAAGTTCCGGGAGGAAATTTCATTTAGACAATCAGTTTATTCGTAATGTCTTGGATTGTACGGTCAATTTCCTTTGATAAATAATACCTTTTCAAGTATTTTTGTTTACCTTCACAGTAAAGTTATCTGTAACACACCCAAACAACAGATGATAAATTATGGGATAGGATAAATGTCGTAGTGCATCTTTCTCAGAATGTTCAATACGTGTGCATTATCTCGTAATTTCCATTCATTTAGTGAGTAAATACTATATGTAAGAGCATAATTTTCATTGAGGATTTTATTTCAAGCTATAACTTTCACTTCATTCGCTTTTTTTATCTAGCATGTTGAGATGCGCTACGCTAGCTTATACACCGAAGACATATGTAGATAGCCTTAGATTATTCAAGTTAACACTTCATATTAGTCACCCCAACACTGACGATTTGATTTTAATAGTTGAATTCATGAGTCGATCTAAGCGAGACTACCATTGAAAACTTGGAGGTACTGAAAGGCCATTTCGTCGTATTATGGGACTCTCTAGCAGTGCACATCCACGATCTACCTTAGATCGGCTCATGAATCCAACTTTTAAAATTAGTATAATCTCTATAAATCCCCATTCTGATTTTATTTTGTTTTACATTACAGACAATCCTTAAGTTACATACTATAATTTTAAATGATGTAATTCGCCTTAAACCTGACCGATTATTATTAATTATTATTAATTTGGATATATAATTGTGGAACCTGAAGAGAAATTATCGAGGAAAATATTCTTCGTTCACTAATCTGTGTTTTAGTACAGTATTTAATTATCATCTATCTGTATATATTTTTTACATATTTAGCAATACTTCATAATTAAATAAACTGTTTATTTTCAGGAGACAAACAAATGAGGAACGTGAAACAGAATGGAGGGCCACAGGACGTTTTTTATTAAGTTTACATTCTCAGCTGAATTTACTTAAAGAAAACTTACATATGAGTAACAGTCAAACATTTTATTCCACGGTGAGCGGTTAGACATGTTCAAGAATAACTAAAATCAACTGAAATATGTAAACTATTAAGCTGATATTCCTTGAATTGAGCTTTTTCTTTATCGTTTGGTCATACACTCATCTAACCTATTGACTTTGTACTTTTTAATTGAGATAAACGTTTGTACATCTATCTATGGTGTTCAATCAGATTGGATCGCCAAAACGAATATTAGCAATTAACCCCCATTAAAAGCATCACTTATTTATTACATCTATAACTTTTTCTTCTCGCTTAATTATCTTGGATTCATGGTGATTTATAGGCATTGGAAAACCACGTTAAAAACAACTTCAATAAAAGACTGTCAAGATAAATGTGGACACGGAAAAATCTGTGCGAATGAACAAATGATATGCAAAATTGTACTGTAGAAACAGATGGCAGCGAAATTCATCACGAACCAAATTTATCAAGAAAAACATTGAAATATTATGATAGTCTTTAAATCCATTGAAATGTACTGTTTTGACAGAATTTGATTTCATGCTTTTCCATGTCACAATTGAGCTCGAAAAACAAAAGAAATTCGAAAATCACTTTCGAGTAATCGTTATGCTTAGTAGTATTCAGATTATTATATGAACAAGGAATCGCCGAAACAAAGCAATTTAGGTCAGTGTGATAATCAGGAGTATTTGAATTATAGCACGAACTAAGAATACCAGAAATAACGTAATAGTATCAAGAAGTACTAGATAACCACAAACGAATGTACTGTATTTAGAATTCAAAATCAAGTATTCAACAAGTACAAAAGAATCACTAGTTCATTGAAACACCACATCCGCCACAGCTTAAATTGGAGTATAAGTGTCTGTAATAGGTTGTACGTCTTCTTCTTAAGTTCATCCTGAGTCTCTCCGATACTGTATTGGATAAAAACTCTGTATTATCTAGAATGTACTCATTAGTATTAGAAATAACAACCGAAATCGGAACAGACTCACTTGGTTTCTAGGATTGTATACAATCACCGTGTCGGTTGTGTACCGAAACCACTAATATCTAGAATTTGAATCATAGATTTTCCAACACTATCTTCCCCCACGAAATAATCTTGGATCTTTATATCCCCAATTTATGAATAATGTGGCTTCATTTGAAACATATTTCTCACATTGACTAGAATATACATTAGAAGTGTTTTTGTGATAAGGATAAACAACAGTTGATATGAAATCATCTGAATTGTAATCAAAATCGAGTTCATTTAATAATCGTGCTTTGCATTGAACAAGTTTCCCACAAGAAACAAATGCATTATGAGGACAAATAATATTTGACATGACATCAAGCTTTGACTCTTCTGAAATAGTTTCCTCGAATTTATTAAGAATATTATTGCAGAGTAAAGGATCATTGGAAAAATCAGCATCTACCAAGATTACATCAGGTTTTCGATCATGATTAGGTTCATTCAACATATTTACCTCAGATTTGCAAAGGATTTCGTCAGAAATAAATGAGTCTTAGGGAAACCCATATCTTGTACAATATGTTTATTGATTAGAAACTATTGTCTCGCGAGAATTCTGAGTTGTATTCGACTCTGAACTGCTATATGAGTCTGTAGTGACCTACTTTTATCAACAGAACGCGATTGATTTATTGGAAATAATCATTATTATAACTAATTGTACTAGTGATTGTTTTACTGTGCTTGTTTGTTTAACTGTGCTAGAGACGGCCATATTATTGCTACTCCATTGATTGTGACCTTGCACGGGTTTGGTTACACTCGGTAACCACGCTTGTACTTTTTTGGCACGATCTCGGTATCCTTTCGATACCACGAGATCGCCAACAAAAACATCTTGACTACAGCTATCAACTGCCTTCTGATATTTGGCTTAAGGGGATTTTATCGGTTAACTGGAACGTAGTCTTCTTGTAGTGGTGTTCATAGTCAACCGCGACTCGACTCCACGCTACAAGTCTACACTGTCTTTTGAAATCGTTGACAAAGATAAATCATCATTATAAATACTCAACTTAATACAATCAGAATAACAAGACTTAATATTATTTGCAGCAAGATGAACAGCAGTATTACAAACTGACTGAATATGTCCAATATTATCACATTTAAAGCACTCAGAATTACGAAATTTAAATGAATTAAATGAGTGGAACCTGCCACAGGACAAGCATTGACCAAACTTGTGCCCATCTTCGTGAACTGCATCTCAACTCAATGAATTATCTGCATAATTTTGAATATACACTGGGCTGGGATGACGTAATGTAGTGGAATTTTTTATATCCTCATGAATCGTTTTATGAAATCTTCCTCCTTTACGACATCCGAAATTTGTATACTTAACATAGTCTAGCAGTAGATCCTTGAGAGCTGTATAAGGAAGCGAAATGGACCTTTCCGGTAAAGCCAGAGTTTGTACTAAGCTATATGCTTCTTTTCCAATGAATGTGAGGAAATGTGCCACAATATTAACATCCTCATGATCTTCCTTTGTCATAGCCCAAATTTCGAACCTTTCAAAGTAATCCTCAAAAGCATAAAAATCTGACTGTATGTCCAACCGTTCTATCACAGGCTCAATCGTGTCTCCCATGTGATGATTAGGAGTAAATGAATTATAGTACGAACTAAGAATCTCAAAAATAACGTTATTGGATCAAGAACTACTAGATAAGCTCGAACGAATTTACTATATTTGAAATTCGAAATCAAGAATTCAGCAAGTACAAAGAAATCATTAGTTCATTCAAACACCACAGTCATGTAGAAAAAGGTGAGCACGAACTACTACTTCTACTCGGAAATCAAAATCTAGCATATATTGAGTACCTAGAGAATCATTGATTCGTGAAAACACCTCAGTAATCTCACATATATATTGATTTCACTTAGTGACGACTGAATTTTCAGTTGCTTAACTTCTGAAAAACAGTTTCGACTACTTGGAATGCTGGTCGTAGTAAGTCGATAATTTGTGTTTGTGAAATTGAGAGGAGGACAAGTTCTGGAGTCTGACATCAGGTTCACGTCTTCAGTTTTTCTACTGCCTAATGTATTCTGGTGCATGTTATGCTGTAACTTACGAACATAGTACTAACTACAGTATTTTCAGTCATTAATTGATAACTCTGTAGTTCTCAACCGCTAAACATGTTATTTCTGCTCTCGACGTGCTCTCATACATCTGGCTATCCGTCTCATATAACTAATGACCTGTCAATGCTGGATAGACCTGGAAGCTTGTTGATCGAAAACTTCCCCTATTTGGTTAATAACCGTTTGGATCTGCTTAACTTCTAGTCAGAGAATATTCGAACCGCTGAAAAGTGTAGAGTTTTAATGTTCATCTTATTGAACTGAAGAATAGAGCTTCTAGAAAATATTTGCTTCATTGTCTGGATGTATGTGAAATTTTGTTTGAATACTTTCTTATGAATCAGTCCAGTCAGATGATCAACGCGGTGGTTTGTTTGCTAGTCGATTAACGTATGGTAATAATATGGAGCATTAATTCACTACAGTAACATAAGAAACCTCTTTGCTGAACCCTTGTGACTCTAGAATATCTTGAAATTTCCACATTTAATGATATTGGGTTTGTTCGGTTTTAGCACTTCAGTGGAGTTGGGTCTCCAAGATCCAGTTAAAAACTGCGGAACTTAGATTTGGTCGTGAAGTCCTACTTATGGATTTTAATGTCATTTGTTATTACCAATACAACTAAATGAGGCCATCAGAATTACATATTAACGTGGATCGAAAGCTGGTATTTAGATTTTCCAACTAACTCATTGACGACCTGAACTTTATTATTATTATTATTATTATTATCAAATCCTCTTATTTGTTTACGAGGTGTTTATGACAAATCTGTTTTGTTTTAAGTAATGATGAAATTGTTGTTGGGGCTTGTATGGGACTCACAAATTAAGCTTTGCTCTTACTACAGATGACGCATTTTTAGAACTGAGACATCAATGTAACGTATTTTCCTATATTGTATCCTAAAGATCGAGCGTTAATCGGTAGTAGTCTGACGAGAAAATCTATTTCGGTAGATGAGTGTAGTTATTATTTAGTTGAAAGGTAACTATGTATACAGACAAATATGAATCCGTCAGTTTTAACATTCTCAGTAATTTTACATTTTGTATGCACTTTCGTTCATCACTGATAATTCCTTTCTAATATTTGGAGATGTTATAAGGACCTATAAACTACAGCCATAGTAGAGGCATTACGTAAGCTCAACATTAGTTATATCAAAATGCTTTAAATAATCTCTTTCATTGCAAAGTTTTATCTACTCCATACCATTAGTCAGTTCTCTTTGTCTGTTTTTTATTATGAATAAGGTGTTATGTTGCTCAAATTCGCTTGTGTGTTTGACGAAAAAATGTGTTTAGGTATTTGATAAAAAGATGTCTGTTTAGGTGTTTGACAAACTGGTCTTCCAAAGTTTCGTTTTAGTAGCCGAATAGGTAACTTTTGTTATTGCACGTAAGTTTTTAGCTTACTACAAGGCTCTTCGCGTTTTTCTTTCATGTTATTGATAGTATCAATTGTTCTCAACTCATTTTGCCTACAGTTTGATTTATGTGGTTAGTTTCTTAATTTTTCAGAACGGAGCAGGAAACATTGATTGCAGAAAATGGGAGGACGTCTACTTGATGTATATTTCAAACCAATGCCCGGCAGATAGCATTTCAATCAAGGGAACTTTGTTCTTAACAGACCATGTTAGTTTGGGATTCGTGTATAATTACAATTTTGTTAGGGATCAAAAGTAAGTATTCACTGGGTACCCCATCATGATCAAGGTAAATTTCATTGTCACTCCTATTTGGATTACCTTATAGATTCGTCATTATCCCAAGAAGATAGAAAAGGTTATGAAATCGATATTAAGGATATGGATTTTCTTGTTATACGAAAGGCCCCATGCTTTCCTTGCCGTGGAGTGTATTTATCCCTAAAATCACAAAAACCTTATGGCCCATTCGAGTTCCGTAAAGGTGGTTCCAGTTCATTTTTGCGAAGTTTGAGTACTTTGGCTGATGTTAGAAGGTAAATGTATTTGAAATCTCTTACCTATACTGGAATTAATAATACCTTGTTCCGTTATTTGTTGAAGTCTATAGTCTTGATTTGTTTCATACACATAGTTTCCTTTATCATTTTGAAGAGAGTAAGAACAAACATTCTAGCAGAATAGAATGAATTCATTTTATTTCGTTGGTTCTCGTCAGCTGCTTATAATCTGTGATATTTAAAATCGTAATTACATAATGGGTTGAAATTACTTACATGAGAGGGTTTAGTTAGAAGTTATATTGAAGACATATTAGTATAGTATGGCAAGGGTGTAAATAAGTTTACTAGACTGAATATTGTATATGTATACCTTATGTAAAAGAAAATTCTGCAACACTGATTGTGACAACCGTTCAAACGGCTAGAAACAAGTGATCATATAATGAGTAAACATTGATAGGAATAAAATTAGTAAGTTCAGTAGATAAAATAAGATTATCAATTTGGAAGATAGTTGAAATAAAACTCAATGATGTAATAAATGCAAGAAAGAGTTTAAAGAAAAAGGAAAAATGTTAAGATACAGTGAAGGAATGTTAGTCACCAAGGCAAGGAAAGATTAATCACCATCTCCTTTTGAACACATAAATCAGGTTTTTGGCGTCTGATAACAACGGCTTCAACAAACTTCAGAAGACTGGAGTTTGGATGCTTACTAATCACCCTGAATGATTGCAAGGTATCGACCTGATGTCCTTTATCAAGATGTTTTGTGATCTCACTGTTTAAAGCCTTTCTTTCTCTTGTTCTGAGGCTTTTTGGAACATGTTCAAAAAATATAAGATATGCCCCCCTTTCTGTCTTGATTTGCATTCCACCTTGTTACTAGTCAGTTTCATCGTACATTTTCAGTCAAGTTGTATAAAGAAACGCATTTTTAACTGGGCCACGTAGATCGTATCAATTTTGATATTTCTGTCAGTATAAAGCGATGTTTAGTGTACCTTTGTTAGAGGTCAGCTAAGAACCAACCGGCAAAACTCAACAAAAATCAGTTGACTTAATTTTATATCCAGGTTTTAGGAGAGGAATAAAGCGTGGCTCGTGGCAAAACAAATTGAATGGAAGACAGTCAAACCTTATAATACTTAAAACATTTCAATTCTTACAAAGATACTTTTCACGTCTTGATGAATACGTGTTCACACCTTATATGTTTCGTTGCGAGGTTTTGAATAAATTGAACCATGCCCAACATAGCCGATAAAACCTTGTTATACAAACTCTGAAATGATGTTCATCGGGCCCTGAGATTATAAATTTTGCACGGAAACTGGAAAACGTTGTTCACTGGTAAAAGTTTTGTGATTTTATTGTCCAAATACTTGTCGTATAGTAGTTTACTCAACTAGCTGTCCAGGCAATAGAAGGCTGACAACCATACAGTTCTTTCTCATCACTAGCTACGTAAGAGTTTTCATGACCAAAAACTCTCCTATTTCATCTTTAAGATTTTGCTATGTAAACTATTGTATGTAAGTATGTAAGCATTTCCAGCTGATGCTAACTGTTTTGATACACTGAAATGCTCACCCAATTATATATCTATTTGCATTTGTCGATGTCTAGTGTTCTGATATTACACCATTCAGCGATTTCCTCCTGAAATCACCAGCAGTTAGCTTGTCCACGATGACTAAGTATTATCAGTGCTGTTCCTTTACCTAGTCTTGGGGATTGTGGCTAATCAAATAAACCTAATTTTCAACTCTACAGAGAACTGCTTTCGAGTCTGCTAGTTGGTTTTATTAGCCTGCCAACTTAGAAAATATATATGACGATATTTATTACTTCCGTACTCCTGTGGGTTTCCTCGAATTGTGTAACCTGTAGCTCGGTCGATGTTTCTGCCCACCTGTTAAAGTCCGTTCACTGCAAGGCAATTTGCTCTGTAGTATTTGAGAATTCGAAACATGGATTTGTAAGGTAGAAAACATATGTAATATACAGTCATTTGACCATGATTGTCTTCGGGTCATTGTGCATGCTTGATGAGAATGTTGGGTGATGTTAGATGGTTAATTGCCAAATAAAGATGATAAAGCTGTTGATGAAACTATCCATGTATTTCTGTTGACCTGGTTGAGATTTGTATTACGCATGGCCAGCTGCCATTGTTTCTGGTTGTAGGAGTGTACAGTTGGTTTAGCCAAGACATATAACCGTGGTTATAATCATACGACTCATCTCTACTGCAAATGTTTTGTGTCTAATTTAGTATAACTACCACTACCTGACTGGCTAGATGGGATTCTAATTCATAATCAAGGCTCTAAAATTCGGATACCCCAACTACTAAAACACCACACTAATCATTGATCATTAATATGTGTTGTGAGCCGCTGACTTGATTAGTTTACCGAATAATCGAAACGCATGGTTGACGATGTTAGGTGACATGACTAGGAATATCTCACTTTTTTTAAAATGCATTTCTTTATTTTCTTGTAACTTAACTATTGTATTATCTCATTCTTTTCATTCTTTGTTTGCACTTCCTCCTTTTGACGGTTTATCCTTTTATTTTTGTCCACACTACTGCCAACATCAATATTTTCTTAGCTTATTATCCTGCTATTTGTCTCTCGTTCTATGAATATAAAACTAGCATACGTGTGTGTTAGGTAGTGCGTTACATACATTCGTAATGAATAACCTACAAACTCATTCAGTTGGCTGTAAACCATACATTCTGTCAATATGTTTGGTTGCTTAAATCATTAAAACAGTTTTAACGTATTCCCTGTTTACTTGAGGTTTACATTTCTCTATAATATTTTCTGTACTTCATTTCGAACTAATCGTTTTGTTGTTTGGGCATTTGAATGATTGATTTGTTTATCGATTGATTGTTATTGTTGTCCATTAATTTAGATGCCATGATGACGAGAATCGGTACATTGTCAGACCTCGTCCACAATATAATTTTACTTCTAATTACCATCTTCCTGATCCGTAAGTGCAATGAAATTGTTGTTATTTGATTTATCAAAAGTTTTCTATACATAATTATTGTTTATAATCCATATTAAAAGTAAAATATAATTACTTTTGATTTGAAATGATTTCAAAGCGCATTTCAAAACTAAGTATTGACTTGCAACATTTCTTTGTCTTAATTTAAGAATTTTTGTCAATGTATACCCTAAATTTCACCCCAGATTAATTCAAAAACTTCAGTTTTGAGTTCGAAGAATAAGCGGAAAAAATACTGTCAGTTGTACTATTCATCAAAATCTAAAGGTGGACACGGAGAGTCCACCTGGGGGAGTTGGAAAACCCTGATTCCAAACCAATGGTGCACATGGGGCCCAGTATCCTGAGAGAAGAAATGGGGTATGAACCAATCGTTGATCACCGGACATCATGGGATTACATCTCCGTAAGTAGCTCCACTGCCTTGTGGATCATACCTTTAGGTCGAAGGCTCCGGGCGTGCTCTCTTGAGAAAAAAACCTACTTCGGTTCGGGCACCCGGGTAATATCATTGCCCGCACACAAATCAAGTGACTTGTGTGAGGCATTTGTGTTCGGTGCCCCTTTGTACCAACATTTATGTGTTCAAATAAATAAATAACTTTGATATTAGGATATAATTGGCACATTCTACATAATCCAGGTGGGTATATTTGTTTGTAACATTGTGGCATACAAATGCTGTCTACACCCCTTATTTTTGAGTATTTATCTAAACAGTATCGATTGCTGATGAATAATATATTTAGTTGGATCAAATCCTGAAAATCGTTAACTTGAGTAAAGTGCTAGAATTTAAAAAGATGTTAGACGGTAGTGAATTCTATTTACTTATTTCATGTATGTTTGTTTATGTTTTCATTAAACCAAAATATATCTGTATTATATCACTAGTTTTGTACAAAACAAACGTCATTTCAGTTCAGCAAGAGTGGAAGCGGAAGGGCTGATTGGGTCCCCTTTTTCTGGCCAATTAGGTGCTTCATTAAGAAATATTGGAATACATGTCAACTCAATTGTTAGCACTATATTATCACCTAATTTAATCGATGAAAATATAGCTCCAAATAACGGCTCATCTGAAGAGTATTTTGCAAAATGTATTGCAGAAGATCTACAGAAAATCGAAGCTGCACGTTTAAGAACTACCGATGATGAAGGAGGATTTGCTGTTGTTGAACGAGTTAGTTTAAGTTTTACTTTATTGCATTTATATAATTAATATATATATAATTAAAATTAAATAAAATAAACTACCATCCCTTAGAGGTAATATCAATTGTTTTTGTTCGGTAATGAATTTCCATATTTATTTTTTGTCTAGTTTAACTATCTTTTTGTAACGTATTCGGTTGTCTTCGCTAATGAAATAATGTTGGAAAAGTGATTTCGAAGAATAATTACTTCCCATATGTTCAATGTACACTTTTGTCCTCAGCTATTTTATGCATGGTTGTTTTAAAAATTTGATTATTTGCTTACTTATTAATTAAAAATGTTCATCGCTATTTTGTCGTATTAATACTCAATAAATCCCAAGTTTATGTTTGGATTGAGAAATAATCATCCTAAATTTTAAAAAATCTTTATTTCTGGTGTAAATTAACCGGAATAAACACACTAAAAGTCTGACATCGCATTAAAGTATATTTTACTATCTTTGAGGAAGTATTTGATCACAGATGCCTCAGAAATATTGCTGGCGTCTGCTGGGATCACCGGGTAAGTAATAGGGAGGTTAGACGCAGGGTATTAGGGAATGATGGTAAATCAGTCGATGAGGTTATGAATCTTCATCGACTGAGATGGTTGGGCCACGTGTTACGTATGCCCAAACACCGATTACCACGAAGTGCAATGCTAACCGGTATTGGAGATGATTGGAAGAAAGTTAGGGGAGGCCAAACCAAAACGTGTCATCAGTGCTTGAAGTCACTAACTTCTAGTCTGAGCCATGTTGGTAGATGCAGACTACTTGGTTGGGGTCCGCGTGACTATCGTAATCAATGGTTAGAGACTCTTGATGACATGGCTCAGAATCCATCACAATGGCGTAGGTGTATACACTCTCTATCTTCTCTTAAACTAATAGATTAAAATCGCTTCATATCTTTCTTTTTACGAACTAATTCTTTCTTCTTGTACTATATCCTTATATAAAATTTTTCTTTTATATATTACCACCTCTGAATTAACTACTTTTATGAATCCGGTGTCCATCTTGTTGTGTTAGTTAAGTATGGCAACTTTGACCGATGCATATATGTACCTGGTCCTACGTTGTAACTGACTGACTGGCTGACTGTGTTAAAATCATGACATTTATGATTTCAAAATAATTGGTTTGACTAAATAACTATCTATTTGTGATATGATGGAATTAAAAAGCAAAATTGCATTCTTTTACTCATTGTGATTTTTGTTTTAATCTACTGTGATAATTACTCAATGTAGTATTTGTTTTTTTTTCCAGTATGGTAATTTATTCGGTATAACACTGATTTGTTATAATTCTGAGTATTTTTCATATATATGATTTCATCCTAACTATTTATCGAAATGAGTTTGCAAATCAACATATAAATGAGTGTATTTTCGACTAGGGTTGTCATCGTGTTTTGGGAGTAATAACTCTTCACTTGTACCAACCTTTATGTCTTTACTTTCACGTCGTGGGAATTGCAGTTGTTCTTTGTTTTACAAGCATAAGTGATAAGCGGTTCCGACATAAAAATTAGCGATGACATGATATAATAGTTGGCGATGCAGTCATAACAATTTGGCGACGGATATGGAACGCATCAAAATAGTTAGCTTATCTTGTCATTGTATCACTGAGTCTTCTTTCTCTTCGCCGATTTAATTGATCTCGTAATCTCTCCAAACATTGTAACGTGGTGACGGGCTGCAGCCCACACTTGTTATTCCTGAAAAAAGCTTGACTATTCTAATGTTGATGAAATAAGACAAGAGTCCTCTATCTGATGGTTGAAAGCCGAATCAATAGACTGATGAACCATAGTGCTACACACATATTGCTAATTATATATGGTTAATAATCATATTTTCTGTGTAGTTTATTATACTCTAAGAACGTTCATACATGGTAAAAATACTTATCGAAAGACATGCAATACCACTACGAGAGGTTTTCTGCTAACTGGCTTTAACGGTTTATTATTATTATTATTATTATTATTATTATTATTATTATTATTATTATTATTATTATTATTATCAACAATTATCTTGTTAGCGAAGTAGGGGTCTTAGTCTACATTTATGAGATTTGATTTGTTAAAATGTTAGACTTTCAAATATCAAAATTTTTAAAGGTGGTTACAAATTACTTTTATTTTACTTGTTTCCGTAGAGACCAAACCCTATTTTTCTTCCACCAATGCCCACTGTTCAGCGTTCCCTCCCACTGAATATGACCCAATGGAAAAAGTCACTGGATCCAGAAGGTCGTGTAAATCGACCTGAAAATTTACGTGAAATAATATTCAATGGTGTAAGTTAGTTATATTAACCGAGGACGTTAAATCCCCTAGAATAAAATGTATTTGATTTATTCTATAAATTCGGATTTCGGTTTCATTTTTGTGGTGAAAATACCCACAGGAACTGTCTTCATTTACTGTGATAAGGGGCAAGACTTTTTTATTGGTTTGTTGCTTATTTAGTATGTCAATTTTCCACCCTGTTTTCAATATTATTCAATCCATATCCAACCTATATTTACTAAAATACATCACTTTAAGTCTCCACCACTAGATCTTTCCTCTAGGATTTACCTTTTAGATGAACCAGAACTGTGAATTGGAGAAGGAATTGTGTTCGCAGTTAAAGATACGACTACCACGAATACGATTGCCAAATTTAGATACTCGGACTTATATGACCAACAAATGACACATATACCTGAACGAATAGCCTAGAGACCCGTTCAATCCTTTTCGCTGCCTGTTAATTCCAAAACACAAACCTTAACCTCCGCAATATACGTCATATATTTCAAACATACTCGGTTTATGTACAAGCCAAACAGACCACATCATACCAGGAATAGAAAACAACAATTGTACAAGATCAAGCCAAAAAGTGGCTATGATTAAGGGAAACTTTAATTAATAAACTGGACATTACGATAATAATTCGTGTAATGGTAGCATGTAGGTCAGAATAAAGCTTATAATAAGGGAGATATGAACATACATAAACTAGTTACTCAATAGTTATGTGTTAGGAAGATGCATATAACGTTAGTCCATAAAAAGGTCCCAACAGTTACCATTCGTTATTCTCGTCGGGATATAACAGTTATTAAGTCCAAAAAAACTTAACAATCAGGATGACCTGAAAAGTACTTAAAATAACTTTAAAAACAAAAAAAACTAATCGATTAAAATATAAATACCCAAGTTTCAAACACTTCTCTTCCCAATCACTACTAATGATCTCCTTAAAATTGATTTTTATCGAAACTTATCTCTTAACTTTCACCATTATGCTGATATTGTTAGTAAGTATACAGCTGTCATTACTCATTTAATGATAGTATTATGTCATATGATTGGTAATTTATGTTCAATGGAATAAAGTATTCTGTTTTCTATTAATAGTGAAAACGTTTTTAGTTTCGATTAAATGTAATAACTTTCTATCTGATGGAATTAAGTTCATTTTAATTTTTTCTTTGTTTTAAATAATGAATAAAAATGTATACTTGATTAGTGTTATTATCTATCATCATGATTATTCCTATGAAGAAGATATTAAATCTTATTTGACTGTAAAATGTTCATGAAAAATTTGACGAATGAAGATGTAACTTGTCAAAATTATAAATTTCCATATGGTTCATACTACCTTAACTCTAGATAATTAGGTAGCCAATAAAAATGATTGTTATAGGAAACTTAATGTGTCTCTTTGATATTATAAATCAGTTTATAGAGAGAAATATGTTACAATACCTTGCTTCATAAAAATCAATTATTCCACCTTAACTACAGTGATGTATAGGTTGAAAGCTTAATGTATTTTTTTTTCTACTCACATGCTGCACCTTTTCGTACCATGTGCAAACATCCAAATGTAAATCCCTTTCAATTATATTTCTATTGAGATCAATCTTTAGCAACTTTTAATCTCGATATCTTACTGCTTTTTTTTAAAAAAATCTCTCATGATATCTGATTATGCATCTGTCTATACTGGTGTCATATGTAATGATACATGATATTTTATGGTGAAATTGTTGACCACATGTATAAAACGTAGTAATAGTTAGAATTATACTTCCAAAGGTCTTATATTACATTCCTAGAAATTGAACAAGATTCATCACTAAGTAAATGTCCTACTACTACAACCACCTTTTTCCATTGTTCCATTCAAGCAGTGGGGTTAGACAGGGTTACCCAATCTCACCATTCCTCTTCAACTTTGCCATCGATGGCATTCTGGAAACAGCTCTAATGGATGTAAGTAATGGCGGTGTGGATCTGTTGCCTGGAGAAAGACTTCTCGACCTTGAGTATGCGAATGACATTGTCTTACTGTGTGATAATACCCAAGGCATGCAATCCGCACTTATTCAGTTGGCAAATAGTGTCCGTAGGTATGGTATGTGCTTTGCGCCTTCGAAGTGCAAAGTACTTCTACAAGACTGTTAGTAATGCAGAGGTCCGGCATCGTGTGTTCGGGCAGAGAGACGACAATGCAATTGGTGTCACCATCTTGAAACACCGACTTCGGTGACTTGGACATGTTCTATGAATGTCGTCCCAGAGAACTCCACGTCGTACATTATTTGCCGACTCTGGGACTGGTTGGGAAAAGTGGAGAGGTGGTCAGTGTATGACATGATGTCGGGGTATGAAAGAAAGCTGTAAAGAGCTGGCTTCTGTTGGTTCTTCACGACTTCGTTGCTGGGGTCCGAGAGATGGTGCAACACAGTGGCTAGAGACGTTATCAGATATGGCTCAGAATAGAAGCCAGTGGCGATTTTGCTGTAACCTTCTTTTACTTTCTTGTTTCTCCCTTAACTGAAAGAATCCTTCTGGTTGTACCTTTCCATCACCCCATTATTATTATTATTATTACACTTCCTTACAATGATCTGGTCTTTATTGTTCCTCTTCCTCTTTTTTTTTACGCTGGATTATACTCTTTAAATAACATCTCCAAACCCTAATCTTCCCGATTACTGCTTATACTCTTATTACCTCTACCACGACGGGATTTGAATCGACAAGTGCATCTCTGTGCTAATGTGGTGTGGCAACTCGAACTGATGTACGTACGTACGAAGTTCTACGTTGTTACTGACTGACTGACTGACTGACTTTTTTTTACGCTCCTTACCTCTTTTCTCTCCCCATTCTCGTTTTGTGTGGCGCATATATATTTGGTGCCCCCCCTTGTACCAATATTATGTGTTCAAATAGATAAATAAGAGACTAAACATAAAACAATTATTATGTTATCTCATTGTTAAGTTTATCGATAATTCATACACACTAATTAATCACATAAAGATATATTCCTCATATCAAGTGACTTGAAGAACTGGGCTTACATTTCCTACTAGTTTGTTATGGTGTAAGTATACTTTTCAGTTGACTAAAATCTCTTAATTTTAACAGAAATGTTAGAATCTCAAGCTACTTTATTTCCACACTGCTTGTGTCAATTTTCGTAGCCTAATCGAACTAATTCAAATACCGGTAACCTGTTTCACTTATTCGTCAAAACAAATTGTGAAATTTGTAAATGACTTACAAACTTCATCCCTAAAATAAGGTTTTCTATTCTTTGAGAACTGTATCTTATTACCATTTCTTTTTCTTACTAAGTAAACTTTAATCAGAGCAAAAATAATTGATCTGTTACTTTTTAAAGGCATTGGTTAAAAGTTAATAATTTTATACAGCAAGTTCTTCAAGTACATTATATACATCGCTTCATTTCACCATGTTTACTGAGATGATTTCTTTTTCCCCGGTTTTCTATGAATTCAAATGATTCTGAAAAGTTGTGTTTGTATGTGTGGTAATGGTGTGATGTGAATAGAATTAGATATGGCAACTCGGATAGATGTTCCAAGTCGTATGGATAGTAAGGCCTTTTTTCCTATTGAGGGCAGTAGGATCTAGCAGTATATGGAGATCTTTAGCTACTCTCCTATCTTTGTAGTGGGAAAAACTTTTTAAAATTACTTTAATATTTTCAATATCGATTTGATGGTTATTGAAGAAAACTTCAAGTAGAAGTGTGTGATGATGATGTTGAGAAGAACGATGAAAGTTCCACGACCAAACCATCTAGCTTGGAGAACAAAACTCCACCAAAATCATCCTCTTGAGCTACAAATCTCTACTATCTCAATTCCTAAGGGTGTCAATTGTTTTGTAGTGTGCTTGAATTCTATGTTAAGATTCTTTAGTTTTTCTGTTGTACTTTGGCGGTATGGCAAAACTACATCACCAATCCATATTATTTCATTTGAACTACTACTTAATAATAAATCGTTTCGTTTTGATATATATTTATTAATATTCATAGGAAAATTGTAAGATCTTGACCGTGTTTCTGTTCCTTTTGCCTAGCCTTTTCGGATGTCATATTCTTGGTTGCTCTTCTAAATAGATTTTTGTACTGAGTTGAAGGCAATATAACGATTAGAGTGTGTTGGTTTATCCTGGATAGTCTGATTTACAGCTTCAATTAGATTTCTTTCAATTGAGCAATTTAAAAATGATAATTCACCGTATTCATTTTGATTTTTGTATGGGGATTCAGTATGGGATAAGAGTATAATGATCAGTCTAGAAAACGTTCGTAAGAGAGTCTTTCATAACGACAAAAAAGTATCGTCCCCATATCTGAACCAAATTCGTGATCTAATGTCATTGGCCAAAATATATGATTCTATATGTGACATAAACAGGTTAGCAAGGGTATCCTATTATCACTCTGTTTGTTTGCATAATGTCCCGTTGAAAGTATATATGACTGAATTTAAGCATAGTTTTAGAGACTACCAGGCGATCTCCCCAGGCTTCTCAACGCACATCACGAATATTTTCACAAGAACGTTTGAAAAACACATTTATCTACTAGAAAAATACCGTGAACGTGCTAAAAACTTGTATAACCTGATAAAACTTTTGATTCCTGCTAAATTACAAACCATTAGTTCCTACATTTCATTGTAAGGGAACACCATTATTTGAATTTGTCGAAATACTAACGAGTCAAAAAATGTGAAAAGATTAGAGAAATAAGAGAGAAAAAACTACTCTTAGATCATCAAGACTGGATTATATTGTTGTCGATGTATCCTGATTACTATCATGTTTATAACCGGATCACTTATGCCAACCATAATGTTTAGTGGGTTGTCTAAAATTGGTTTAGAAGAGAAGAATATTTTAGCAGTTAGGAAGTAATACTTAGTAAGAATCATGTTTATGTCTCACTATTGAATTTCTACTGTTTACTGATCGGACAACTAAAATATGGCTCAGCCCAAATAAGTTTTGAAAACAAAAACAAATGTTGTTACATATTAGAACCTATCACTCTATCGTTTAACAATTTTTTTAATTATCAAAACTTTGTAAACTTCGGATGTTTACCATTAGTTCAGTACTGCCATTATGGTTTTACCCACTATGAGTAGTGTAAATTTCATATTGTGGTTCAACTTTTATAAGTCTATCAAATCATATAAAGTAAATAAAATAATTTGATTTTGATGCCTAGTGAATTTACCTATTTCTTGACAAGCATTTTGACATTGTTTATGAAACAAAATTATTTCTTATTACAGACTTGGTAGCTACACATATTTAGGTTGCTTTATAACATATATGGTTCAAAGTATTATTTGTTGTGTTCACAGCAGACTGAATTGGACTCGTTTTCAATATAATTTAGTGTCAAAGTATGCCTTTTTTTCAATTATCCCGTCCAACTGACACTTACAGTAAATTTTTTTGGATTCATTTATTGATGATCAAACGAACAAAATATGTCATTTAGTTAGTCATACGTAGCGTAGAGAAACTGGGACATATATAGATCAGTTCAAGTTGTCACTGTACATTAGCACGACAAGATGTTAGAGTAGTATAAGTAGTGAAATAGAGATTCCTGTTTTCGTACATCTACGTTGATATGTTCAAACTTGTAGACAGACAAACTATCTTAATCTTTCCAATCATTCTGTCACACCGTTAGTCGTAGTAGAAGATATGATTCGAGCAGAAAATATACATTCGTAGGATAAAAAATTCTTGACGCAGTTAAAAAAAACTTAAGGTCCAAGGAAAGACAAAGAGTGAGTATATCTACGACCAATTCTTAGTCATGTCACTCGAAGTCTCTAACCATTGGTACAAACCGTCAACCAGGTGGTCTGCGCCTACTAGCACAATTCACTCCAAAGGCTAATGATCACATGAACTTTTGGTTTTTATACCTTTAGCTTTCTTCCAGCTTACTCTACCAACCATCATCGCTGATCGAGGTAGGCAATGGTTGGGTATACTTATTAGGTGTCTCAACCACTTAAACTAATTATATTATACTGTGTTTAACAATAAATGAGTACCAACTAAAGCGAACATGATTATTTCTACTTTATAAGGTTTATTTATCGTCATCTTCCTTCTTCTTGTTTCTCATAATTACCATTGTTATTATTATTTCATGCAGGGTATTGAAAATGATTTAAAACCGATAGTATGGAAGTATTTGCTCGGTTATTATCAATGGACTTATACAGCAGAAGAAAATGAAAGATTAAAAGTTGAAAAAAGGTTTGCTAGTTTTAAATAATATTAAAAGTATTTTATCATGTAAATTAACTGAGCGATTTCTTGTAGGACTAAAATACATGCACGTATTGACAATGGATTTACATAATTATTCATGAATACAAAATTCTGTTTCGTTGCCAACAAAATATGGTAGGAAAAGGTCAATAATAAGAAGATTCGGTCAGCAAACAGGCAATATATATAACCCCACAGTAATATCTTCATGAAATCTTAAGGACCAAGCAGCATTAATATTCGTACTCATCTCATCTTGTAAATATATCAACGTATAGCCTTCAAATTAAAATTACGTAAAGTACAAACAATTAAGAAGATTCTGTTCATAGTGGTGTTCATCTTCCAATTATTGTTGTCAAGAACTGCAGTTGACCACTCTCGCTCTCTCTCTCTCTCTGTAGCTCAATGGTAGAGTAAAAAGTAATGGTTTCGAGTCTGTGTGAATACTAACAGTTCAATTTAATTATCCGAGTTTCAAATAGAATGAAACACATATTCTGTATTCCACTACTAGTCATTGCCCAACTTCAATAACTATGAATAATTATTTACCAAAGTTTCTTCTTTCACTTATATTTTCACTGTAATGCATTGCGTTGAAGGCTTCATCAACTAATAAGCATTTGTTTACAGAATAAAAACTAAATAAGTTTCTAGCTCTCCATTATTTGTTAATGATGATGATCAAGTTTCCTGTTCTTTTGCTTTTTTCGTCAATTAATTTTATCGGTTTTATAAAACTAAGTTTATTTATTAATTAATATAATAAATAAATCTTTAAATATATAACTCAAAGCATCTGAAAATTGTTATTGTTAACTTTCAAGTTATGTATATATACTTACCTCGTCAACTTACACAAAACAATAACTTTTGTATATTCTTTCGTTAAAGGTCTAGCTTCTTTAAATATGCTTTAATTTTAATCCAACCAGTTACTTATCTCAGATACTAATATTTTCCATTGCTTATAAGTAAAGATAGATAGTGGCTAGCACTGGAAACCAAGACACTTTTTTCCCTGCTTAAAATGCATTTGACTTGATGGTAATGTCGAGGCAATCCTCACAGGATCCACATATGCCAAAAAGAGGCTAGTTAATTGTATCCCTAAATGATGGTGGGAAGATTAAAAAAAACTAATACAAAATGAATTGAACTTCACTCCATGGCACAAGCTAGTAGCTATTTGAACTTAGTTGCTACGTGGATAACGCGAAGGCGTTTGAGGCGTATGGTACTGGGTTCGTTATTTTATGTTGTTATGATAGGCGTTGGTTATTTCAATCAGCGGTAACCGGTACCTGGAGAATACTAGAATCTTCTTATCTAGAAGTTAAAAATATACTAACTTTTTTGTATCGCGGTTCCTACTGTTGGTCCTTCTCGACTCCCTGGCTGTGGTCCTAGCTATGGTGCAACACAGCGGCTAGAGACGTTATCAGATATGGCTCAGAATAGAAGCCAGTAGCGATTTTGCTGTAACCTTCTTTTACTTTCTTGTTTCTCCCTTAACTGAAAGAATCCTTCTGGTTGTACCTTTCCGTTACCCCCATTATTATTATTATTATTATTATTATTATTATTATTATTATTATTATTATACTCAGTCAGTCAGTCAGCTACAACGTAGGACCAGGCACATATATGCATCGGTCAAAGTTGCCATACTTAACTAACACAACAAGATGAACACCGGATTCATAGGAGTGCTTAAGTCAATGGTGGTAATAATATAAAAGAAAGATTTCATATAAGGATATAGTACAAGAAGAAAGAATTAGTTCGTAAAAAGAAAGATATGAAGCGATTTTAATCTATTAGTTTAAGAGAAGATAGAGAGTGTATACACCTACGCCATTGTGATGGATTCTGAGCCATGTCATCAAGAGTCTCTAACCATTGATTACGATAGTCACGCGGACCCCAACCAAGTAGTCTGCATCTACCAACATGGCTCAGACTAGAAGTTAGTGACTTCAAGCACTGATGACACGTTTTGGTTTGGCCTCCCCTAACTTTCTTCCAATCATCTCCAATACCGGTTAGCATTGCACTTCGTGGTAATCGGTGTTTGGGCATACGTAACACGTGGCCCAACCATCTCAGTCTATGAAGATCTCAACAGATGTGAGCAGTATTTCTAAGACATCTGTGATCAAATATTAGTAGCTTACGAGTATTTTCTAGTCCCAATGGCCACGTTTCGTAGCCGTATAGTAGAACAGAACGAACTGCCACGCAGTATACTCGTCCATTAATTGATAGACGGATATCTTTCTTTCGTCATAGGTGACGTAGATTGGCAAAAGCCAAACGAACTTTTCGAATCCGTACCGAGTTTTCGTCAGACACCAACCCATTAGGGTTGATCAGACTTCCAAGACAAATGTTGTCGATGCGTTTGACTACTTCACTCCCTATCCTTAGTTCAGCTGTTGACGCAGACCAGTCCTGAAGCAACAACTTGCATTTAGAGGGAGAGAAGCGCATTCCAAGCATTCTGGCATTGTTGCTCAGTGCTACCAAAAGACTGCATTTTGTCAGCGTCTTCACCAAACAGGACTATGTCATCTGCGTATTCTAAGTCGATAAGTGGACCTCCTGGTAGTGTGAGACAATGGATTAAGGTTTGCAACAGCAACAGTCCGGTTTGATATGATGGAATGGTATTTTGCAAATTAACCATTTACTATATGGTTTTTCTATTTTACCAAGTAATTCTGTAATTTGTGCTAAATACAATTTGATTGTCGTCACCCGTGTTCTCCTTCACTACATTTGGTTTCGCTGCCTCCACTAAGGATGAAGATTCCATGGCCGAAGGAGTTTGAGGACGGAGATGTGCTGACCTTCCTGAAGGAGTTTGAGGCCGTGGCGGAGCTGGTGGGAGTGAAGGAGTTGAAGGCAAAGTTGGTGGTGCTGGGGACGCTGCTGAAAGGCAGGGCGAAGGCTGTGTATGACAGCTTGGATGGTGCTGGCGGGAAGACGACATGGGAGACAGTCACGGAGCGGTTGGCGGCGGAGTTCGACAGCCCAGTGGACAGAGAGGACGCGCTGCAGAAGTTCCGGTTGGCGAGGTTGCCGGCCGATGGTGACCCACTGGTGCTGGCTGTGGAGCTTACCAGATTGTTACGCCGTGCGCTGCCGAGTCTGGATGAGGAGTCGGAGGCACAGTTGTTGGCGTCAAAGTTTATCGAGAGTGTGCATGCCACCGTCTCCCAACAGCTGAAACTGGTGAACGCAGCGCAACCGATGGATATCAGTGAACTGGCGAAGGTGACTCGTCAGCTGATGACGCGACCAGTAGTTCCTGTCGGGTGCGAAAAGCAGGAGATGAGTAATGTCGAGAAGAAGATTGGGGAGCTGGAGCACGAGATTGCAGCAATACGAGTGAACCATAAAAGGAACGATAAATGTTACGCTTGTGGAGGGACAGGACATTGGAAGATAAACTGTCCAACAAGACGAAGACGCAGATATGTTAGACGTTACAACGAGTGTTCTTTCTATCCTAGGAACCTGGGGATTGTTGCGTTAGTAGACAGAGGGGCAGTATATACGAGAGTGAACATAAATGAGCGAGATTTAGTTTGTCTGATCGATATAGGTGCAGCAGTATCGTTAATAGGCAAAGAGCAGTGTAAGAGACTAAAGCCGTGTACATTAGCTGTCCACACTATAGGAGGCCATATGCTAGAAATGTTTGGCGTATCTAACAGTACCGTAAAAATGGGAGACGCTGAGATAAATTTTCCGTTCGTGGTAAGCACAAGCTTATCGAGACCGATATTAGGAACAGATTTCCTAAGAGAAGTAAAAGCGATAGTTGACTTAAAAAGCGGTAAGGTGGTCACTAAGTATGGTTCATTGCCAATACATGAAAGTAGCGAGGTGGCTGAAGTAAGAGTGGCAGCGGATGTCTCATTGTTAGGAAATAAAGTGGGAAATGGAGAAATAAAACCGTTGCCGGAGAAAATTCTTACCATAAAAAATATTGCAGTACCTAATTCGAAAAGGAAGTTGAGACAGTTCCTGGGAAGAGCGGCGTTCTACAGTCGGTTTGTCAAGAATTTCAACGAAATAGCAGCACCCTTATATAAGTTATTGAGCAGCACCAAGTTTACGTGGACTGAGACTGCCGAACAAACGTTCAACCGAATCAAAAACATGCTAGACGATCGCCAGATGACGCTCAGACTGCCTGAACCGGGAAGACTGTTTACAGTGGCCACAGACGCGAGTGATCATGGTATAGGTGCTGTGTTGAGTCAGGCTGATAGAGTGGTGGAATACGCGAGTCGCGTCCTCACACCCGCTGAACAGAAGTATTCAACCATCGAAAAGGAGTGTTTAGCAATCGTGTGGGCAGTGGAAAAATGGAGACCATACCTTTTAGGTAGACGATTTCACATTGAGACCGACCATAAACCCCTGCAGTGGTTGAAAACAGCAAGAGACCCCCGAGGGAAGTTGGCGCGATGGATGATACGCCTGCAAGAATACGATTTCAGTATCGGCCATGTTCCAGGAAAAGAAAACGTAATGGCGGATTACTTGTCAAGACCAGACATGGAAGCCGACCTGCCATTAACAGCATACGCGGTGAATAGTTTAGAGGGAGACCCATTAGAACTCGTCCGGCAGCAGAAAGCTGACCCTAACCTTCGAGAGGTAATCAGAGTGATAAAAGAGGGAGCAGACGTAGATAAACGAACAATGGACAAGGAGGTAATAACGCTGCTTCGGCAAAAGGAACGACTGAGAGTGAACTCATATGGAGTGCTGACCTGGCAGGACGACGATGAGAATTGGGTGGCGGTGATCCCGAAAGACTGGCGGCGTAAAGTGATACACGAGTGTCACCAGGTAGCACATACAGGCATCGCAAGAACGACGGACTTACTACGACAAAGTGCATACTGGCCGAGCATGAGAGACGATGTGGCTGAATACGTGTTAACCTGCCAGCAGTGTCAGCT